TGTTTCTATGTTCGTTTGCTTTTGTCTGATTGTTGTACACCTGTGGTTAGTTAGCGTTGATTATGTGTCCTATAAGTTCTCGTTTTGTTAGTCATGTGTTGTGTGTTATTGAGCGTCCTGTCTACGTGTCGGTATTGGTTTTCCCTCCTTGTATGTTAGGAGAGGTTTTCGCACTTTCTGTGCGCTTATGTATTTTTCCTGTTTGTTTACGCCTGTGTGCGTATCGCTCGTCTCCGGGCACTTTTGCTCGTATTTCACCACTAAAGACTGTTGTACGAAGCTTCTGTGTCCTGCGCCTGATTCCCGCACCATCCACATACAGCACACCTTGACAATCATTTGATTTACACAACATGCCTACCACTTTGAAGATGCCAAATATGTATTATTGTTAAACAAATAAGGCCATTCCAAGACATTTAAATGTTTCCCCTTAAACCACTCGAGTGTTGCTTTAGCAGTATGCTTAGGGTCAATGTCCTGCTGGAAGACTGAAACAGGTTTCCCACAAGAATTTCCCTGTATTTAGCACCATCCATCATTCCTTCAATTCTGACCAGTTTCCCAGTCCCTGCCGATGACAAACATTCCTGCAGCATGATGCTGCCACCACCATGATTCACTGTGGGGATGGTGTTCTCGGGGTGATGAGAGGTGTTGGGTTTGTGCCAGACATAGCGTTTTCCTTGATGGCCAAAAAGCTCAATTTTAGTCTCATCTGACCAGAGCACCTTCTTCCATATGTTTGGGGAGTCTCCCACATGTGTTTGCTTATTATTTTCTTTAAGCAATTGCTTTTTTCTGGCCACTCTTCTGTAAAGCCCAGCTCTGTGGAGTGTATGGCTTAAAGTGGTCCTATCGACAGATATTCCAATCTCCGCTGTGGAGCTTTGCAGCTCCTTCAGGGTTATCTTTGGTCTCTTTGTTGCCTCTCTGATTAATGCCCTCCTTGCCTGGTCTGTGAGTTTTGGTGGGCGGCCCTCTCTTGGCAGGTTTGTTGTGGTGCCATATTCTTTTAAAAATATATATATAATGGATTTAATGGTGGTCCGTGGGATGTTCAAAGTTTTGGATATGTTCATAACCCAATCCTGATCTGTACTTCTCCAAAACTTTGTCCCTGACCTGTTTGGAGAGCTCCTTGGTCTTCATTGTGCTGCTAGCTTGGTGGTGCCCCTTGCTTAGTGGTGTTGCAGACTCTGGGGCCTTTCAGAACAGGTGTATATATACTGAGATCATGTGACACTTAGATTGCACACATATGGACTTTATTTAACTAATTATGTGACTTCTGAAGGTAATTGGTTGAACCAGATTTTATTTAGGGGCTTCAAAGCAAAGGGGGTGAATACATATGCATGCACCACTTTTCCGTTATTTATTGTTTCTAATTTTTTTAAACAAGTTATTGTTTTCATTCCACTTCACCAATTTGGACTATTTTGTGTATGTATTCATTACATGAAATCCAAATAAAAATCAATTAAAATTACAGGTTGTAATGCAACAAAATAGGAAAAACGCCAAGGGGGTTTTACTGACCTGTTCTGGACAGGACCTGACCTGTGCTTAATCTTCTCTGCCCGCTCCTGTTGGACAAAGGAAAACAAATCTCATTACAAGAACAACCACCACAACCACTCACTCACAGCCATGAAGAAACTGTGAACTATAATGCCCCCCGCCCTTGTCCCTTGTCTCTTGTCCAAACCCAATATTTGGATAACTACCAGGAAGTTTGAAAAGACAGGCTGAGTGGGTGGGGAGCTTATTTTAATGAGCTTGCCTTTACTGACAGCTCTTTGAAAGGCCTATGTCAAGCAATTTGGCTGCAGTAAGCATTGTTGCAGTAAAATCATCTCAAGCAAATGTGGTGATAGACAATGCAACTCAAACAATATTGAAATTAAATCAATGATTTCAATTTATTTGATACATTTCCCATTTGGCCTGTCACTTATAATGCGGTTCACAGCAGCACTGATGGATGTGTTGACATGACAACTGCGTCAGAGGTTTGAATGACACTTCCTTTCTTAATATTTTTATCTATGTCCATATTGTCCACAAGTTTCTAGTAGATATACTATATGATTCAAGACAAAATAGCCAAATATTTTTCTGTTAACTCTGCAACTCTTCCAACTACAGTGGAGAAAAAAAGTATTTAGTCAGCCACCAATTGTGCAAGTTCTCCCACTTAAAAAGATGAGAGAGGCCTGTAATTTTCATCATAGGTACACGTCAACTATGACAGACAAAATGAGGAAAAAAAATCCAGAAAATCACATTGTAGGATTTTCTATGAATGTATTTGCAAATTATGGTGGAAAATAAGTATTTGGTCAATAACAAAAGTTTCTCAATACTTTGTTATATACCCTTTGTTGGCAATGACACAGGTCAAACGTTTTCTGTAAGTCTTCACAAGGTTTTCACACACTGTTGTTGGTATTTTGGCCCATTCCTCCATGCAGATCTCCTCTAGAGCAGTGATGTTTTGGGGCTGTCGCTGGGCAACACAGACTTTCAACTCCCTCCAAAGATTTTCTATGGGGTTGAGATCTGCAGACTGGCTAGGCCACTCCAGGACCTTGAAATGCTTCTTACGAAGCCACTCCTTCGTTGCCCGGGCGGTGTGTTTGGGATCATTGTCATGCTGAAAGACCCACCTACGTTTCATCTTCAATGCCCTTGCTGATGGTTTTCACTCAAAATCTCACGATACATGGCCCCATTCATTCTTTCCTTTACACGGATCAGTCGTCCTGGTCCCTTTGCAGAAAAACATCCCCAAAGCCTGATGTTTCCACCCCCATGCTTCACAGTAGGTATGGTGTTCTTTGGATGCAACTCAGCATTCTTTGTCCTCCAAACACGACGAGTTGAGTTTTTACCAAAAAGTTCTATTTTGGTTTCATCTGACCATATGACATTCTCCCAATCCTCTTCTGGATCATCCAAATGCACTCTAGCAAACTTCAGACGGGCCTGGACATGTACTGGCTTAAGCAGGGGGACATGTCTGGCACTGCAGGATTTGAGTCCCTGGCGGCGTAGTGTCTTATTGATGGTAGGCTTTGTTCCTTTGGTCCCAGCTCTCTGCAGGTCATTCACTAGGTCCCCCCGTGTGGTTCTGGGATTTTTGCTCACCGTTCTTGTGATCATTTTGACCCCACGGGGTGAGATCTTGCGTGGAGCCCCAGATCGAGGGAGATTATCAGTGGTCTTGTATGTCTTCCATTTCCTAATAATTGCTCCCACAGTTGATTTCTTCAAACCAAGCTGCTTACCTATTGCAGATTCAGTCTTCCCAGCCTGGTGCAGGTCTACAATTTTGTTTCTGGTGACCTTTGACAGCTCTTTGGTCTTGGCCATAGTGAAGTTTGGAGTGTGACTGTTTGAGGTTGTGGACAGGTGTCTTTTATACTGATAACAAGTTCAAACAGGTGCCATTAATACAGGTAACGAGTGGAGGACAGAGGAGCCTCTTAAAGAAGAAGTTACAGGTCTGTGAGAGCCAGAAATCTTGCTTGTTTGTAGGTGACCAAATACTTATTTTCCACCATCATTTGCAAATAAATTCATTAAAAATCCTACAATGTGATTTTCTGGAATTTTTTTCCTCAATTTGTCTGTCATAGTTGACGTGTACCTATGATGAAAATTACAGGCCTCTCTCATCTTTTTAAGTGGGAGAACTTGCACAATTGGTGGCTGACTAAATACTTTTTTTCCCCACTGTATGTACTTTTTTTCACACTGCCAACAGTTTGGGGCCAAAACATTTACAACAAACACATATTGACATAGTAAAATAAATAAAAGGGTGTCAAAAATATGAAAGATATTTCATGCTGAAAACCATATTTAACGCCAACGTTATTCACTAAGTTGAAGGGCTGTATTTAGGATAATGTTTTACAGCTTTGTTATTCCATTTTTTAATATTAAATAGTCTTCATTTATGCTTTTATATATTTTACATGTTATAAATTACATTTAATCCTTGAAAGTTTCCAAAAAAAGTTAGACAGTTACCAGTAATATCCCCTCTCTTTTCAACCCTAGCGTTACATAATTGCACAAGACCCAGTGACCCACTATTGCACAATGAGGTAACCGACGAATACATACCGAGGGGCACTGAGGATACTAAGAGGGCATCACTTGGAAAGTTAACCACCTAACACATATTTGTTTTTTACAGCACTAGGATGTGTTAAGTTTTCTTATGTCTCAGAACCTCCTGTTAAAGGGGCATACATAGACTGATATGACTGGGATTGTCCATAGCTTTCCCGTGGTGAGTTTTGAGAGTGTACTGTCTTTTACACAAGGAAAGCTACATCTGTCTCTGATTATGTAATCATGTATTTAATGTGTTTCTGAAAAGCTTTACTTTGACAGACATTGGTAGGCTATACTTTTGCATTGATAAAAAGTATGTTAAATGTACAACAATTTATCAGCCAGTCAGTCTGAAACATATTGAAATACTGTTATCATTGAATATAGAAAAACAATAAAATCATTTTAATTACTTGTGACTTAACTTAGCATATTTAGAGTAACTTTTATAAATCACAGTTTTAATCTATCTTGCAGTGGAAGTAGTATTTAAACGTCTACCATTTATGATACACATGATTAATATGCATTGTATCATTGTAGCTTATACATTATCATTGTACCTCATGCGTCGTAGCTGTACATTTCAGATAGCAAAACTACAGAAACTGTATTAATGCAGAATATTTTCACTAAGTTTATACGTTTCTTGTCCATCATCAAAATGTTGTTATATCCATCGACATGATTTGTTGGACGGTACACTACAAAACCTAAACTTGAAATCATTGACTTGACAGCCATGCTGCAGCGCATGCTGATATATCCTCTGTCTAATGGCTGAGTAAGAGTTAACAGTAGGTATGCTTGACACTTACTGTAGTGGGAACTGGGTCAGCTGAGTCCGCATCGTGAGACGTCTCACTTTGCTACTCTTTGGGTTTGAGTTTGAACCAGCTGATAAACCACCCTGACTTGTTGCTCTGATCAGACACACACACACACAAACACACACACACACACACACAGAAGGGCAGACAGACAGACAGACAGAGAGAGACAGAGAGAGAGAGAGACAGAGAGAGAGGCTCATTAAAACAAATCCCTGGTTCATATTTGATGCTGTCGACATGACAACAGGCTTCAGGCTCTACCCACCTGTTTTGGTTGAATTTTGTCTGTCTCTGAGGCCTTTCCCTCCTGCGTGATGGTACCCTGGTGCCCTCCCTGCTGCCATGCCTGCTGACCTCCATAACCATACTTCTGACCATACTCCTGGCCATACTGCTGACCATACTCTGCCACGGGCATCGTCCCAACATTCATATGGACCCCCATCTGCATAGGACAGACAGACTGTCAGTTGACATCTTCATGGACACAGACAGAAACATGGGCACAGTTATGTGACCTCATCTGAGTCTCACAAATACATTTATCACCCATTTTCACATGATTGATTTGATTATTGAATTATTTGTTTATTTATTTAGATGCAATTCAGCTCTTAGCTGCAAATGTTGTACGCCTTGACAATAAACTACACCTTACTAAATCATAAGTATACATATCAAATATAGCACCACTAACACAAACAGCAGGTGCTCAGTAAATAACTGGAAACCTTTACAGAGATAAAATTCAATGTCCTCTTATTTGTATGTGCCAATAGGGGGTATGTTTGTGTATCACATGTAATGTATGTTTGGTAGCCAATAAAACTCTCCCAAGGACTCACCATGCCTGGGCCAGAAGAAGGATCAGCGTCTAGAAGAATACAATGAAATCAAAGCATGAAGTCCTCATATCACAGTTAACAACAGAAACATGTAAGAAGATTCACAAAATTTGTGAAAAGGATTGAACTTAAATGAGCATGTTTAATATTAAACCACTAGAAACAGGTGTGAATCATGAGTATGTTTGCTCAATCAAAATCAGGACCCTCATCCATTGTCTCACCTTCCGTTGCTGAAGGACAGTCCAGTGTAGGATGCTGAGGTGCAGTCTGATGCTGAAGCTGAGCCTGGGCAGTGTCTGTGTAGTGGTAACTGTAGTCCTGACCTCCCACCACAAGGGGCACTGCAGGATGAGTGTAAGAAGCCATGACTGGCAGCAGAGGTGGGACGTTGATCTGCTGTGCCTGCACGTGCTGTTGTTGTTGTTCTTCTGCTCCTTTGTGATACAAGAATTCAGCGTCTGGACCCTGGACCTCACCCCTCACAGAAAGTATTTTGCATTATTCATCTCATATGTATATACTGTATTCTATAATATTCTACTGTATCTTAGTCCATGCCGCTCTGTCATTGCTTGTCCATATATGTATATATTCTTAAATTCCATTCCTTACTTAGATTTGTGTGTATTGGGTATATGTTGTGAAATTGTTAGATATTACTTGTTAGATATTACTGCACTGTCGGAGCTAGAACCACAAGCATTTCACTACACCCGCAATAACATCTGCTAAACACGTGTATGTGACAAATAAAATTAGATTTGATTTGAAAGGTCACCGGTGTCTGATTCTATACGGAAACCAAAGGAGAAACTGTTGGTGCGTCCCAAATGGCACACTATTCAATTTATAGTGCACTACTTTTGACAGGGATGCAACATGGTTCTAACCCTACGTAACTGGTTGATAGGACAAGCCACCTGATGAGTTTTCATGCAACTCTGATACATGAGACACTCCCCCCCAGGTGGAATAAGAGGGTACCACACCATACAGACAGACAGACACAGAGCAGTCTGTCTGTCTGTTCAGCTTATGTGTGGCACCAATGGTGGCTGTACATCACCCAGGTAGGTGCTTCACATTAGTGGTGGATGAGGTAAGTTCCCCCTTATTATGTAAATGCTTTGAGCATCTGAAAAAGTGCTTAATAAATCAAAATAATTAATTGTCCATTGAAATAATGATCTGGGACTGTAGGTTTACCTGAATGTACTCTGCTCTCCTCATTGGCCTATGCATTCTCCTCTGCTGGTGACAGGTATGTATCACTACAACCATAGCTCCCCATCTAAGCAAATACATATGTTTTAACCATAGCATCTTAATCTGTAGTGAATGTTTTGGAAGAGAGAAAAAACACATAATTAAGATTATAAGAGCCAATTGAAGAATTTCAAAAGAGTATGGTATTGTTTTTCACATATAATTTGAACGCTAAAAAGGGATCATAATGTCGTAACAACAATGCTATCAGTGGCTATGTAAGGTCAAACATTGTGCTGGTAGAGGCAAGTTAAAACCAGACACTAGTCTTGCCAGCTGGACTATAGTAAATACTTACCACCTCAGCAACCTTGACATAAGTGCCTACTGACATAGATTCACTCACCTGAAAACCTACCAGTACCAGTGGATTATACTGTAGGCTAATATCCATATCCATCCTAATATCCAGGCTTTAGTGAGTCTCAACATCCAACGACAGTGAGTCCCATTTACGACCATTACTCAATCAACAACAACAAATCACTACTCTATACAAGGTTGTTTGTACCCAATAAATAAGTGTTATACTGTAATCATCATCTCCAACAGAAACAGAGGAACATGTGAACATGTGACAGAGAGACATGACGGGTACAATGATGATGCATTGTGGTGTGGTCACCTGTATGCCCTGCTATCTGTATCGCAGCTGCTGTAGCCAGTCAGGGTCCTGTCCAGGCCTGTTGTCAGCTGTGTCACAGAGTTGTCCCATTCCCTCACACTGATTCAGCCGCTCTGCCAGCTGGGGGGAGAGGACAAATAATTAAATATTAGATGTTCTTACGAATCTAAACATGGTAACCTACTTAAAAAAGTATTACCTTTCCACTCAGACAGAGGCCTGACCGATGCAGAAAAGTGTAAGCTTCAGCTGCTGGCTACTCGTCCGTTGCTTAACCCAACAACAGAAGGTCACAGGTGCATTCCTAAAAGCTAGCTGGGTATAAACATCTTATCTTTTTACAGTGAATAGCTCAATTTATAGCGACAGAATAGCAAAGTCAATTGTTTGTCTCCTTGTCTCCTCGAATATAGAAGGCCAGAGCTCAGCCTCAAAATAAGACTAACTAAAGATATCACCATATACATCGGAGTCGTGGGCATTTTAAAGCTTGTTTCTAGCATAAGGCATCACAGAGTTAAGCATTGTTATCGAGCGCATTTTATTTATTTATTATCTAAATATAAAGCTAACAAGGGGTTTCCTTTTTGACATTTTCTTTAACAAAGGGTATGGCATACCCTCAAGTACCCTCACAATTCGAGCTCTGGTTTTAATCAAACACACCAAGCCCTTCACAGACACAGAGGTATTTAAGGAGTGCATGGTGACATGACAGTATTGGAGGATTTGGCTAAGGACAAATCTATGGATACCATAATTGCGTCTGTCAAACAGGTAGGCCGACCTCTTATTTTATTGAATAGGAAGAAATAGGCTCCAACAAAGCCCTCTTGTTGTTAGTGAAGTTGAATTCAAATTAAGAAATGTTTTTAAATTAATTACTCAAATTACTTTCAGTGCCATGCGCTGTCCACCTCGGTTTAATTATGCCGTGGCCACCACTTTACGTTTCAGCACTACAAAGCTGTCTGCCACTTCCGTTATTAGTTGACTGTCTCCTGCACTCTCTCTCCTCATGAATTTAAGTTCTAATGTAACTTCTGCATTATTCATGTGGGTTAACTTCCTTTGTGGGACATTACTTTTGTGACATTTTACATTATTTTATATTCATAATTAATATGGGGGGCTTATGGGGCCAAAATAAATTCCTGGCTTGGCCCGCGGCCGCCTCTTGCCGACCCCTGCCCTATGATCTAAAAGGTGGTTTATTCTGAGATGGTTTATGAATACAGGCCCTAAAGTGATTGGATACTAGGAATGCACTTTGGCATAAAATGTGTTTATAACATGTACAGTACAGTATGCTACCTTCATAACCTCTCCCTGCAGACTGTGTTTAGAGTATGTTTGGATGTGCATAGATAGGTGTGTATGAATGTATACTGTAGGTCAGCGTATGTCAGAGTGCCATGGTGAAGTGCTATACCTTAATAAGCTCTTCCAGCAGCACCATGCAGGGCTCCTGCAGTCTGAGTAAAGACATCCCAGTAGTGATAGGCCTGTGATGCCAGCCCAACATCCAGCAGACGACACGCATAGAGGAATGTATACACCTGGTAAAGAGAAAACAGGTTGCAACAACACAATAACATAACTTACAGAACATACACCTGGTAACAACACAACCTAAATATTTTTTCACCGTGTCCTGCACTGTAAAACATTTATTGTAATTTTTACAGTAAATTACTGGCAGCACAGAAACCAGTAGGTTACTGTAAATGACTGGCAGCACAAAGCCAGTAAATTACTGTAGATTTACTGGACCTTTACCAAAACACAAATTTACAGCATATTACTGGAACACATGACTACAGCAACATGCTGTATTTCTAGAATTTACAGTGCATTACTGGAAGCACAGTGGTTAGTAAACAGTTAGATTTACAGTGCAGGCATCTAGTACCAACGCTCGGCAGTATTTTGGTTACATATACTTGATATAGGTACTTCAATAGTTTCAATACCTATTATATAATTTGTAGTTCACTAGCCTGAACTACAATTCATGAATTTTGTAACAGTTTAATTAAAATACATGTATTTCTTATTTTCTAATACAAAACTAAACTTGCAAGTAGCCCGCTTAACTGCAACAACATTCTCGGTAACGGTAACATAATATTTTTACTTGCTATGACTGTGATATGTTCTTGTTTATCTACCTTCATTTAATGCATTGACTGTAAGTCCCTCTGGATAAGAGTGTCTGCTAAATGACCAACATGTAAATGTAAAAATGAACACTCACAAAGCACATTTCTAGGTATTATTCTAATGAGCTCCGCCTCCAAACAAGGCCACATTTGATCAAAATGGAAATAGTTTGAGGGCGGAGCTCATTAGAATAATACCCAGCAGTGTGCTTTGCAAGTGTACATTTTTTTACATTTACATTTTGGTCATTTAGCAGATGCTCCTGTCTAGTCAGTGCATTAAACTAAGTAAAACATATTGTAACCGTTACTGAGAATGTTGTTCTAGTTAAGGATATTCAAGGTTTTTGTACATTATTGTAATATTAACAGTAACTTGCCACCAGCCTCCTGTAAGTTGCTGTAATGTCAAAGCAACAATACTGTAACATTTGCCTACTATACTGTAAGAAAGTAAATGCTACTGTAATATTGGTATTTTACTGTAATTAAATGGGATTGTTGCAAACAGGTTGGCTGCTAGGTATTGTATATTACAGCATATAGTATATCCAGGGTTTTACATCACTTGCATTTCTAGAGGCATAAACAAAGGCTTAAAAACTGGCTGTGATTACACGGCAAAACTGATCAAAAGGACATGGCTAAACACTCAACCATTAAAGGTTTAAGATATAATGCCACCACAAAGATGGCCACCAGTCCACCCACCGTCGAATGTCAAATGAGATGGTCATGTCTATTCCATTATCTATATTTCTATGATGTCAATAGGTTTCTTATGGAGGACTGACAGTATAGTTTAAAATAACAGATATTCCCATTCAAGTCAACATTCTCTGATGTGTGGACCTCCAGCCATCTTTGTGGTAAAATTCGATAGTTGAAATGTCCATTTGATTCCCATTGTAGTACATTTATCAGTCAAAACAAGACACCGACCCTGTATTCAAGAGCATGTTGTGTCTCAACCGATGACGGGCACAAAAAAGAAAAACCTCAGATGATGTAAAATAGGGTCTAAGCTACAGCATATGTGAATATGGAAAAAATAAGAATTTACGTATTTCTTTAGATCATTGACATTTAAAGTTCAAACATTTAAAGTTTTTATAAATACAAAAATCAGGAAATTATCAAATAGTTTGACAACCATGTTTGTAAGCTTTTCAATTATATGAATCTAAACAGATTATCTTTTCAGTGATGAAGACATGGATGATGTCTCATTGTATGGTGGGGCATGCAATATACAGTGCCTTGCAAAAGTATTCAGCCCCTTTGGCATTTTTCCTATTTTGTTGCATTACAACCTGTAATTTAAATTGATTTTTATTTGGATTTCATGTAATGGACATACACAAAATAGTCCAAATTGATGAAGTGAAATTAAAAAAATAACTAGTTTCAAAAAATGCAAAAAAAATTATAACGGAAAAGAGGTGCGTGCATACAGTGGGGAGAACAAGTATTTGATACACTGCCGATTTTGCAGGTTTTCCTACTTACAAAGCATGTAGATGTCTGTACTTTTTTTTATCATAGGTACACTTCAACTGTGAGAGACGGAATCTAAAACAAAAATCCAGAAAATCACATTGTATGATTTTTAAGTAATTAATTTGCATTTTATTGCATGACATAAGTATTTGATCACCTACCAACCAGTAAGAATTCCGGCTCTCACAGACCTGTTAGTTATTCTTTACAGACCTCTACATGCTTTGTAAGTAGGAACATCTGCAAAATCGGCAGTGTATCAAATACTTGTTCTCCCCACTGTATGTATTCACCCCCTTTCCTATGAAGGCCCTAAATGGTTCAAAGTGGTAGGCATTTTGTCTAAATCAAATGATACAAACCCCCAAAAATCCATTTTAATTCCAGGTTGTAAGGCAACAAAATAGGAAAAATGCCAAGGGGGGTGAATACTTCCGCAAGCCACTGTAAGTAAATTTGAGAACCTTTATCTCTTGAATGTTTTGGCATTCAGGACCAAAAAAAACACTTTCTGAGCATGTCTACAATGAGCAAATATGTATGGAAGGTTTAGTTCAAATCAAAAGGGGTGCTGTCAAAAAGTGATTGAATTCAAATGGATTTACCCCATGACAAGTCATAGCATTACACTTTCAGTGGCATCCCCCATCATATCAGGGCCTGTGGTCACGCTGTTCTCCTTTTCTAAAATAAGCAGCTCCTTTTCTTCCCACATAGCAAGACATTGAATGCCAAGACATTACTTTGGAGTTCTACAGTGAGTCCCTGAAGACATTGCCCTCTCATTAGGAAAACATTAAGGGGGTTGAGGGGATCAACCAAATACTTGTGACCGGAAAGGTGAATAAGATCATATATCGGCACTCCTACTCTGAGACTACTTTGTGACGCAGGACAGCCTTCTATTTGGAATAGCAAAACAAGCAGTTCCAATCTATTCAGCATGACAAGACATTGCATGACAGAACTGTCCTAGAGGACATTATCTGCTCGTTAAGAGTGGACGAGGGGATCACCAACCAGATACATGATACAGATGTGAGAGGAGCGTAAATAGGATTTGGATGAGCTCACCTGTTGCTGTTGCTCAGAAGCACCAGACTCTCTGTCTGAATCGTACTACACCGGCTCTGACGCTTGTCGGATGTGGCAGGGCTTGAAAACTATTACAGACTACAAAGGGAAGCAAAGCCTCGAGCTTCCCAGTGACACAAGCCTACCAGACGAGCTAAACCACTTCTATGCTCGCTTCGAGGCAAGCAACACTGAAGCATGCATGAGAGCACCAGCTGTTCCGGATGACTATGTGATCACGCTCTCCGTAGCCGATGTGAGTAAGACTTTTAAGCAGGTCAACATTCTCAAGGCCGCAGCGTGAGACGGATTACCAGGATGTGTACTCCGATCATGTGCTGACCAACTGGCAAGTGTCTTCACCAACATTTTCAACATGTCCCTGACTGAGTCTGTAATACCAACATGTTTCAAGCAGACCACCAAGGACACTAAGATAACCTGTCTAAATGACTACCGACCTGTAGCACTGACGTCTGTGACCATGAAGTGCTTTGAAAGGCTGGTCATGGCTCACATCAACACCATTATCCCAGAAACCCTAGACCCACTCCAATTTGCATACCGCCCCAGCAGATCCACAGAAGATGCAATCTCTATTGCACTCCACACTGCCCTTTCCCACCTGGACAAGAGGAACACCTACGTGAGAATGCTATTCATTGACTACAGCTCAGCATTCAACACCATAGTGCCCTCAAAGCTCATCACTAAGCTAAGGATCCTGGGACTAAACACCTCCCTCTGCAACTGGATCCTGGACTTCCTGACTGGCCGCCCCCCAGGTGGTAAGGGTAGGTAACAACACATCTGCCACGCTGATCCTCAACATCGGGGCCCCTCAGGGGTGCGTGCTCAGTCCCCTCCTGTACTCCCTGTTCACCCATGACTGCATGGCCAGGCACGACTCCAACACCATCATTAAGTTTGCCGACGACACAACAGTGGTAGGCCTGATCACCGACAATGAAGAGACAGCCTATAGGGAGGAGGTCAGAGACCTGGCCGTGTGGTGCCAGGATAACAACCTCTCCCTCAACGTGACCAAGACAAAGGAGATGATTGTGGACTACAGGAAAAAAAAGAGGACTGAGCAACTACCTCAACTAGCCGGTGCCCTTGCACATTGACTCTGCACCGGTACCCCCCTGTATATAGCCTCCCTACTGTTATTTTATTTTACTTCTGCTCTTTTTTTCTCAACACTTTTTTGTTGTTGTTGTTATATTTTACTTTTTTATTAAGAAATAAATGCATTGTTGGTTAAGGGATGTAAGTAAGCATTTCACGGTTATGTCTACACCTGTTGTATTCGGGGCATGTGGCAAATAAAATTTGATTTGATTTGATTTGGCTGTGTAGGTGCCAAAAGAAGTGTAGGCCGTCAGATAGCAGATATGAGCAGCATGTAACAACCCTCTGGAGGCTGGGGAGAGAAAACACTCTAATTCTAACTTAATTTAACAAATTAATGGCACGCTATTTCCTATATAGTGCACTACTTTTGACCAGAGCCCACAACACTTGTGTGAGGGTTGTCTGAGGAGAATAGAAACACAGCCACTATAATCCAGTAGAAATGTGTGTGCATGTGTGTGCGTGTGCGTGTGCGTGTGCGTGCGTGTGCGTGTGTGTGTGTGCGTGTGAGTGTGTACTTAGAGTGCATGCGTGTGTACCTACTGTGTCTCCCATGGTAATAATGCTCTTCTGGTGCGAGGCAGGATCTCCAGTCTCATTGGACAGCATGACGGCCAGGTGAGGCTTCCAGTGTCCCCATTTGTCACTTCCACAACACTGAGGACACACGCATACACTGTTAGTC